TCCGCGTCGTTGAGGAGTTTTAAATAAATATGTATGCCGAATAAACAGCGGGAGAGCGCAAGTGCGCGTCGGATACATGTCACAAATAGATCGCCGCGGTCCGAATAAATAAAGCCGTCGCTCTGACAAGTGTCGCAGGACGAGAGTGCCGAGCTTCCTCGGGAGAGAGAGAAAGAGACTCTCCCCCTGATCGATCCTCCGCGACCCCGGTTTAGACACTCGTGGAAGCCCCGGACGTCGACACCGTGACGCCCGTTCACGAGCTCCACCCACGCGTCGCGCCGTCGTACATGCGCAAGCCAGACGGCTCGCGAGATGACATGTTCGCCAAACATCGTAAAACGGCCGCCCCGTAATCAATTAACCCCGGCTGCAATTAGTAGGCGTACGCCCGTCGCCGCCGCTGAATTCAGCGACGACGACGGGCTTTCGTCGAGACTTCGTCTCCTCTTTTAGAAGATTGGATCGGCAAATGCGATTTGATAATGCGCGCGTAGCTCGCGTACAAAGGACAATTGTAATTGTATTATACTTTAATTGCAAATAATTTACAAAAATTGCACACGCGCGTGTATGATATTTTTGTTATGATATTTTTTTTTTACATATATGTACATTTTTTTATGTATATTTTTTTACATTTTACATATGTATTTCTTGAAAATAGGATAAAGGTTTTGGATCGGTATATGTACGAGGATAAAGATTTGTACTTTTGTTCAGAAAGCCAATCAAATATGAACTATTTAATAAGTGTAATAAATTTTAGAAAATATTTATTTAAGTTAATTACTATTTTATATTTTTTATTTTAATTAAATAAATAATATAAACAATTTATAACTCCGTTCTAGTTATCTGGGTAACTAATTACGGATCAGTTTTCAAATATTATATCTCTTTTAAAAATATTATCAAAAATATTATTTAAGGAGAGCAATAGACGTAACTTATTTTATATGTTTTTTACATGTTGCAATGTAAATAAAAAATTACAAGTAGTGATTTACATCCGGTTTCAGGCTCTAAATATGAATCATACTAGATACTATTAGATTTTCAAATAATAAAAGAAAAATGGAAAATTTGAAAATGAAAAACGGAACGATTTTTTTTATACTTTAAAAGTAACAGTCCTTTCCGGCGCTTCGTTTCCATCATTTCACCTGTTTTCTTATTGATACCAGTAGCGCATAAAAAATTTTCTTGAAATATGTTTTTTCCTCAAACTCTCCTCATTCTCGTAAATACTCTCTTATGAATGCATCTCTTACACTTTTCGAAAAGAAAAAAATATAAGGTAAACATATAAAGAAATATGACGCAAAAACGAACCACTCAATCCGTCAGTGCGAAGACGTAATAATGGCCGATGTTATTTTATGAGATTGCGTCTCCTTTGATTTAATATTTGTTTACCTGCAGTTAAGGCTTCTGCTGACTCACTGCAGCCATCTTGAATTATGATGTCAGAAGCGAGAAAAAGCACAAAAAATACATTAAAATACAACATTTTTCGATAAAATAACATTTGCAATCGATAGAACATATTTGTGAAATATACCAAAAATTTTTTTTTACTTCAATAATCAAGAAATAATTGTGTGTTTAGAAATAAATTATATCTAATTAAAAATGGAGTTACAATCGGGAAAGAGGAAAAAAAATTTTAATGCTCGAAAATTCCTTAAATTTTATTTCATTGATACAGACTTAAGAATAAAATAAATATGAAATTTTTTTTCCTATTATTTTAATTTGGGATAAATATTTCATTTTAAATTATTACGTATCTATATCAAAATTTTAAACTTAATTTTCTGAAAACCTTGTTTTTAAGTGGTTTTATGGGAATGATAAAATATTGTAAATAAAAAATTGTTATAAATATTTATCCAATGCATCATTGACGCGACACGTAATAAACTTTTAAACATATATTATGTTACATTTACTATCTAAATAAAAAAATAACCATCATTCGTTATTTTTGACAGTCTATAAAAATAAAATCAATTTAAAGAATATTGACAAATACACTTCTCACTTGATATTTAATATTAATAAAAAAGAAATTTCTAAAAATTCTGTTTAATTTACTTAAAGTTAAAAAATACAATTTTACTAGTCTTAGTTACAATCATAGAACTTAAATTTGAGATGATATGTCTGATATTAATAATTAATTATTAATTGTAATTATAAATCGAGTAATTTTGAAGCGAGTTCTGTATTTTTAAACAATTAATCCACATATCTTTCAAATGTTATGTAATTTAGAAAGAAAATTATATTTTTACGGAATAAATTTTACAGATTCAGATCGTATTACATGCCATTTATAAAATTGGTAACGTAGTTTTCTAATTACTTCGAGTCAAGGTAATCCTAATTTTGCTTAATAATTTCTTTTTTTGTAAAGAATGCATGCAAAATTTCTATTCTATTTCACTAAATATATGTACTAAAATTCATAATCGTGATAAACAAATTAATAAATATTATACTCACCCGATAAAATCAATTCAGCACCCACACATGAGATTTGAAAAATCATTTCAAATATACGGCAAGTGGCGTCATCTAACAGGAAGTATTTCAAATATTGATATATGCTACATTCTCTAAGATATTTTTGTTTCTCAAATTAGATTTTAAAATATCTTTAAAAAAAGAAATAATTTAAATCCGCATAACGATAAATTATATCCAATTATTTAAAGATATAATTATAGATAGATATTAGATAATAAGATATTTAAAGATATAAAATTATCATCTACCAAGTAAAGATCTAAATAACACAAATCATAGGCTCCAAAAACAAATAAATTTTTAAAAAAATGTTTAGCATTCATAATTAAAAATTTCCCAATGACGTATGTTCTACAATAAATAAATTATTTCAATATATAAAATATAATTCAATATATAAAAAAATTATCAAAATATAAAGTAGAAAATTAAAAAAATAATTATCAATCGTTACACTATTACTTTTAAAATTATTCGAGAATTAACGATCAAAATTTCAGTTTTGCTCTTCAAAAGCTGCAACGAGTTCTACAAGATATCTTTCCATGAGGTAGTGGCAAATAAAACAACTATATATATTGCGAGTTTATTAATTATTAATATTATTATACTTAATATTTATAACATATATATATATATATATATGTATATATATATATATATATGTATGTATGTGTATATATAGATGTGTATGTGTGTGTACATATATGTATATGTACACGCATGTCCGTCATGTATATTTCTGTATATGCGCACAAAAAAAAGAGAAAAAAAATACCACCACACCACGCACAAGCATGCAAGCACGTACGCACGTACGCACACACGCATGCTCACATCTCCCTCGCAAAAACTTGCCGGACATACGTGCACATACACAAGACACCCTGTACTTTACGATACAACCGCAATATGTTTTACATAAGATACATGCAAAAAAAAAAAAAA